AGATGCTGATTTACATACATTTTGTGTGTGTGATTGGAATAATTCAGCTTGTGTAAACACACTGAAATATCATATTGTGTGTTACACAAAGACTTCTGCCTGTCAACATGTGATTTAAAGAAAACAAACAAGGCAGCTGCCGGAGAAGCACAGCACGACATGTTCCGCCCCGATCAGATGTCATGTAGCACGAACAATAACACGCAGAGGATATGAGCCGTGTCATATTTGTAAGACATTGTTTTCATGTTGTGTGTTTGTCCTCTACGCAGCCTGTGTGACCTTGAACTGCAGCCTGGACGCTGAGTGCTGCGGTCACATACGCTGGCGTGGCACTGACAACATGTACATCCCTGGGGAGTGGGTGACTGTTTGTACCCACGAGAAGACCCCCCTCCTGAGGCCCAGCCTGTATCCACTCCCACCATCTTGAGAGCGCTTTCTCATTCAAAGCTAATTTATTTTCCCCTCGTTGTGTTTCTCACATCGCCTCAGCCTTTTCCCCCCACACTGGCTGAGTAAATGGACACCCCTGCCCTCTGCCTCCCCTGTCCTCAGTGGAAAGTAATGACTGATTACTGATTGCGGCCTCCCTTCTTCACTTATGTTAAATTATTAGTAGAGCATAGTCGGGCCAGATCTTGTCATGTGTGTTAGCCGGTTTCCACTGGCGGTTGTACAGTTTAAACATATGAAAATTGCTTATTTATTCATAGCTTCCCAGAAAAACATTGTGTTATCATATAATTGACGGCATATGTGTTATGGATTTTATGAATTTCAAAACAGTCCTTAGCCTCTTTCCTCTGATTTTTCAACTGAATGTCCTCAGGCCTCCTCATTCCTAAATAGAATTTTTGACTTATTTAAACGAAAATGAAGGGAAGAATTAGGTCTTTCCTTATGCTGTCCTTTGGTCGGTGACATAAACAGACTTTTTTTAATGAATTGCAGCTTTTGCTCAGATTTATCAATATATATTTTAGCCGTGTATTGTGGCTCAGCATTTGGACTGTCAGTTTAGCTGCATGTATAGTGTGTGCAGCAAAGTATATACAATGTTACTGTTGTGTGCCAGGAGGCCAGTGGAACAGCGAGGGTCTGGTGTTGTCATTAATACTTAATGGCAGGCTGAAACGCCAATCACTGTGTTCATAGCAGCCGTGGGGCTCACATTTACAGAATGCGGTTACAGACACCCAGGGTTGGGTTAGTGTACAATTAGCCGGCTGCATCTGATAGGGTTACAAGTCACAGGTCACTCCTGACAACTGCCCGAGTCACCAAACACAGGCGGAAGTTCAGAGAGGAGATGGCGATAAAGAAGGCCTCTTAAGAGGTGAATAGAAGACGTCAAAACAACTCAGTTACTTTTACAAGAATAGAAAAGACGATCTCCCACTTACAAATGAAAGGTTGACATTTCTCAATTGAATGCACACTCAAGTGTTTTGCAACTACAGCCATGCTTGGTCCGGTTTGACCATTAGCTCATGGGGGCTAATGTTAGCTTAGGTTGTCAATTGTATACATAATGAGCAAAATTTAAAAAAGCAAATTCAGTGTCACAGTGTTCGCTGCTATGCAAGAGTTACAAATGTTGCTTTAACCCTCATCATAGCATTGCATTAAACATACTATAGGACAACTGACCAAAAATATACAACTTTAAGAAACAACCTTCGAAGCAAAAATTAGCACCCATTAAGGCTCATTGCACACATGAACTTGGTAAACATTTATTAAAACTACCTAGGTTGGATTGGTTGTTTTTGAGTGGGGTCTCCCATTCAGGACACCTACTGTATACATTTTTTTTAAAGAACACGAAATATTTATGTCATTAGAAACAAATTGATAAAGTCATGAAAACAGGAAAGATGTACTAAAGCACCTCTGAGATATGACAACAATGTGCTTTATAAATGTAATTCTAAGGTAAAAGTCTTAAAGGACCAGTGTGTAGGATTGAATGGCATCTAGTGGTCAGGCTTCAGATTGCAACCAACTGAACTGGCCATCAAGTAATGAAAAAACATTAAAGATGCCTCTCTAGAGCCAGAGTTTGGTTTTTCAGTTATGAGCTACTGTAGAAGAAATGGACCCGATCCATACGTAAATTAAAAGGCACATTTTTGGCGAAAAACACAAAAATTCTCAAGCTGACTTTTGGCTCTGCACTGTCTTCGAAGACTAGCGGAAGCGTTACCATCAACGCCACGTACCATTAACTAAATTGTCGCCAAGGGCTGTGCTCACAGTTAAAAATGGTTCAACTTTAACCTGGTTTGCTGCTGACCTTTTTGACGAGCAACCAAAGATGTTAGCTGTGCTAAGCAGGCAAGCCAGCCGGGAAATAAGCATAGAAACTAAGTTTAACTAGCTGTTTTCATTGCAAGTCCGCGCCAACCTCACGATGATGGCGGTGGTGGTGAAGTCCATAGGGAGTTGGCTTGACAACTGGAAGGTCACAAGTTCAAGTCCCGGAAAGACCAAGTGCTACCGAGGTGTCCCTGAGCAAGGCACCGTTCCCTACACGGCTCCCCGGGCGCCGTACATAATGGCAGCCCACTGCTCCTAACAAGGATGGGTCAAATGCAGAGGAACTGTTTCGTTACATAGTACCTGTACTACGTAATGACAATAAGTTGAATCTTCAATCTTCTCCAATGAGCAAATTGCTTATTATGCAGGTGTCAGGTGATCATAGTCAAATGAAAGTTATGAATATTGCTCAATTTGTGCATGAATCCTAAATCCTACACTGGCCCTCTACATTCTGAGACAAAGGTAAACAAGCCATCCTTTTCTTTTCTTTTGATGTTTATTTTCCAATGTTTTAAGATGTCTGACTAAGTTTAGCTAGCAGTTGTGTTATGCAAAGAGCTGAGGGAAGTTTAAATGAAAGAACAACCATGCTCATTCTCAAGGCTATTGTGTGATAAAGTGGGCAAAGAGCTTGAAGGCTTGTGTTGTTGCAGGGCCTTTTGGAGGAGGAATAATGAGTAAGAGCACCAGAGAAGAGGCAAATGAATGTCTCATAACCAACGTCTCCTGGAGCATCTCCTCTAAAAACAACCTTTAGTTATGAGCAGCAGAATTTCACATTTGCTAAGATTCTTAGCAAATTAGCAAAAAGATTCTCCCACATTGCTAACCCTGTTTGTCTGGGTTCAGTCTAAAATAAGGTCTCCTCTCTGCTCAGTCTGTGTGAAGCAATTCACACGATGTTAACACTGCAGTAGTGGGGCTTCAAGCTGCCAGAAACACCTTATGCTGAAAAACGTGTCAGTGATGTTCAATATTCAGGTTATATAAGATGATCTCATTTAGGATATGTTTAACCTTCTCTGCTTTCACAATAATAATCATATCATTTTAAGATGTTAATAGTATTTTCTGTACACAAATATATATAAGTATACATTTGATTGCACTTTATCCATCTCTGACATTATTACCATATTGTGTTTCCAACTGTGTCAGCATGTTTTATATGTCTTCGGTAAGTATCTGAGTGTCTTGCTCTTTTTTTATTTGAATACTTTCATTTCATTTACTTTCATTTGTACATTTGTAACACATTAACCTCACAGCTACAGGTGTTACTTTATCTGCAGATTCAGATTTACTTAAAAGCAAAACCCTATGATGGTTTTTATGTTTTTGATGCTTTCCTAAATTAAACAACCCATTAGTGGACAATATACGTTTATAAAACGGACAAGTCAAATCAAGCAATCTGATTGGTTCTTAGCCGTGATATAATGAGCGACGCGTAGAATAACATTTTAGTTACTTTTCACAAGTCAGTATACCTCCGCGTCTGAGAAAAAGTTACAACCGTTACAACTTGGCTACATTACGTCCGTTACGAAACTAACTAACTAACAAAGCTTAACATGGAAACATGTAAGGTTAACTTCGACCTCCGGGGTGGCCTTACTATCGAGGAGTGGATTGAGCAGTGCCTATCTCCAGAAAAAAAAAAGCACCTAAATGGCGACATGCAGAGCTACGTGAAGAGCAGGTAGACCAACTGACCGGAGAAAGTGGAGCAATATTCTCGCCACACCAAGCAACAGCCTATACTACCTCAGCCTATAGTACAAGTAACCTCGTAAGCCATTCTACTGATGCTGGACAGTTTTTCAGTGGGTGCACAATAAACGGCAACATACAAATTAATGTAAATAAATAGCCAAATAATCGATCAAAGCTGTCTGTCTAATATGGTTGTTAGCTGTTAGTGGTGTTGCATAGCAACCACCTCGCACATGTTTTGTGCAGAAGGCAACGGAGGGACTATTTTATTTTGAACATCATTATTTAAAAATACAAACTATTTAAATTGGAGTGTGTATTTTTCTTTCATATTGCCATACTTGGTAACCGTTTATAAAAGCAATAGCTCACTTCAGGCCGTGATATATGGTCATTATATCACGGCCTGTCGTGAGCTATACATGTAAAGTAGCATTCAAACTAAATCATATACTATGATAATAAAAAACAACCACATTACAATCTGATACTTTCATTTTTGAAACATTGAACTTGCTTTTAAATGCAGTAGCCTACTTTCACTTGTAATGGATACTTTTATATTGAAGTAATTTGAGGTGTGAGTGGACATCTATTAATCAGAGAAGTATGATTATACATTGGGTAGCAGGCTATGTCACTTTGCATCTGTTGTAGCCTACATACTAGCTGAGTTCATGCATATTCTCAATCTGTGATATTACCTATATACCAGACTAATGTTACTATAAATATTGGTACGAAATGTTTTTGATATTTGCTATAATATTCCCTATGATCTACGGTCTTGCTGTGAGGTCATTGTCTTTCCAAACACCATGCTTAGCCTATAAGTTGTTTAATATGAGTATACAGTCAGATATTGCCTCATATTAAACCGAAACCGACTTTCAACCCAATATATCAACTTTTTCCCAAAGCCCAAAAATAAGTTCCCACACAGTATGCTTCCGTACCTATGGTGGTGATCACAGTGATGGCGAAATAAAAGGATCCGGCGAATTTCCACTGCACCCCGGCTTTGTGCGGCTTCAGCTCCAGCACCACTTTCTCCAGCTCGTCAAAGTCCTCCACGGACAGGTTGAAGGTCCTCAACAGATCCACTTTCCTCCGGACCAGCTCCCCAATCTGGGACGTCTCCTTCTGGGACTCCAGCGCGTCGAAGATCGCGGCTCCGACTATCAGGTAGGTGAAGGTGCAGATGATGAGGGCGAGGGTCCTCACGTTTTGCCTCTTCATGGTGCTGTGGCGCGTGTCAGGGGGTCGGGCGGTGAGTGCTCGCGGGTCTGGAGGACGGGGAGCTCGGCTGGCTCATGGCTGTGCTGCTCTGAGGAGCGGAGACTCTCTCTGACCACTTTATGAGCCGAGGAGCTGTTCGTTCAGCACCACGCCTCCCTCCCACTGCAGGAATCCTCCCCCTACACCCCTCTGCACCTCTCCCTTTATCTCAGGGGTAATATTGTGTGAATCCCAGTGTAAACTTTATTACAATAAACACAGTGTGGGCTGTTGGTACTCAAGTGGCCTATACTGAAGTAGGTCTACTTTTACTTGAATATGTCAACTATTTCTCAAAGTTATTGAAGTAACTGTTATATTGATTGTTGTGCTTTTATTCATGTCTAAATGTGTGCATATGTATACATCTGTCTGTTGATTGTGTATACATAGGTAGGCCTATATACATATTTTTATATATCTTTGTTATTGTATTCGGGATTGTGGGAAACGTTATTTCGATCTCTCTGTCAGTACCGGTCAGTACACACAAACTGAAACATTGACAATAAAGTTGACTTTGACTTTGACTAAAGTTTTCTCAACTTTTAATTGATGTGTCACCAATCACGCAGCCACAAGTGCTTCACACAGATTAAAACATTACACAAAACCAAAAACACACTGACTGAAAGACTTGAAGGGGTCCTATTGTGCTTTTTTGGTGAGACCCAAATGTCTGACCGTATAAAAATGTCTATCTTGCGGGCTGCAACAATTAGTTGATTAATCAATTCATCTGCAGCTTTGTTGATAATCAATTAATTATTGTATTTTTATTTTTGCAAAAGTTTCTTCTGTTTAATGTTGTTTGTGTTTTATATAATGTCAATGCAGATGTATCTTATATATCAGGAGAAACAAGTATCAATCTGTGCTTAAAGGTAAGGTAGGTATGGAGAAATCAGCTCGAGTGCACTAGAATTTGAAACGCAGTCGAAAAAATCTGCCCCTTCCTTCAGACTTCCTTACAGAGCCCCTCCTCCAACACACACGAACGCGCACATGACCAATGAGGGCACGAGATAAGTGTGTGCAGGAGATGGAAGACTGACAGGCAGGTAGGCCATCCAGTTATTTTCGGCGGGCCGGTGAAAATAATTGGTCGTGCTTTTTACAGCGCCACGGCTTCCACAGATGACGTTTTTTTAATGTATTTATTGTCAAAGCATTTAATGTATTCATTGCTATCGGGATGTTAAGAGCATTCCATGGAATATAACAAAAAGTGTTTCTGAAGTGAATTACCTACCCCACCTTTAAGGACATGTTGTCGTGTTACTGTATCTAAATGATTGTGACAATGTGATTTATTCTTGATGGATAAAGTGTATATCTTCTCAAAACGTTATTGATCAATCTCTTCCAAACATATCACAGTGAAAATTAAATAGGAATAGAAAGAGGAACGTGTCTGAAAACTAATGTATTCCAACTTTGGCAACAGTGTATTTTTTCTACCAAATGAAAGTCCATGAAACTTGGCCAAAAAAGTACAACACAAAGGTCACTTTTCAGAAACTATAACACAAACTTCTTTACTTTGATTGGAGTCTTGGACATTCCTATGAGACTATGTGGGACTGCTGTGGCCTTGTTTTTTGTTTGTTTTTTTACCACTGAGCTGCTTGAGCAGAGCAGCTGGGGGTAGAAAGCCCTGATATTTATTCACATTCACTGCTGTGAGGAGGTTTCTATTTTTGAAAGGAAACTCTTTGAGTGATGCTCCACCGAATCCAGCTGTTACTTTGGCTCCACGAAACTCTTAAAGGTCATTTTGTTGACCTTATCAGTCCCCTGTGCATCCAGGCAATACCAGAAAATAACATTTCAAACTTGAGAAGAAAAAACAGCTTATATGAAAGTTTCAAACCTTGTTAAAATAATGCTTGTTTATGATATGTGTGGAACAGTTAATGGCGATGATTTGACTCGGAGAGACAAGATGTCAAGTGAAAGTCTGACTTGGGCCAAATTGGATGGCCTTCGGTGTCATTGGTTTCCAGTCGGTGGTTCCCTGTTGCGTTGCACGTCAGACACTTTTTGGCTGGGATGCTTCGAAAAGAGGTCAACACTATATCCACATCAGATTTCATTGCTTTTCATTCCTCAAGTATTGCTGATTTCTCCTGCCAAACAAATACTTTCTTATCCAGAAAAATAAAACAAGGGGTCATCAACATTCATTTCATAAACTGCAACACCAGAGAGTTATTTCTTGCTTTTAAGTGACAACAAATGCTTTTTTTCTCTAGAGTTTTACACATCCTTATACCTTAAAACATATTTAAACAGCATAGTTTGACCAAACTGTGAAAGACAACGCCATCTTTTCTGCACCTGCTCCTTTGAGTGATATCCTGGCCGATCCCTCGATCGTTCCCCACTGTAAGCCAGGCCAAAAATAGCTCTTGCTTCAATAACCAGGTCAGTCAAGTCATCTGTGACAGAGCCTGAATAAATCCTCCTTTCACTAACTGGAGTGGAGCAAGCCAACGCCTGATCAATACGTCAATTCATCCATAACCGTTCAAAAATGTGGCCTTTCATGAGACGCTCTTTGGAAGGTATGGACATTATACTGTATTTAACTTCTCATGTCTGCAAAGGTCATTTCAGTATGAGCATTATGTACTTAAAGAATCATATGTTTATAAAATACAGAAAACGATGGCCCTATTATTGTCAATAAAAGCTCCAACAAGAAATACATAATTGTATCATAATTAAATGACATGCTGACGATGTTTTGCTCTACATTACTAAACCAGATCAGTCACTTATAATTGTTTAAGTACTTAGAAAAAACAAAAATAAATAATTTAATATCTGTGAAGAACTATTTTCAGCAGCGCAATAATACACATTAAGTGCCAAAACTAATTAATTTTTTTAATAAACTACAGTTCCAATCCAAGGTTCATCATATTGAGAAAAACCCTGTATCCCAGTGCAACAATGTGGCTCATTTTTGTGTGTTTTCTTTATTGTTTTTTTTGATAATAGTGAAGCTCTAAGGCACAGAGGAATACAACATCAAGCTTTAGCTGCACAGACAATACGTGACAGTAAAATCTATTGTAAGTAATGAATATTTTATTGGATGACAGTCGGAAAAATATACATGTAAAAATGTCAACCGGACCCTTTATATGTATACAGTTACAATCTGTGGTGATGCTAAACTGCATTATGAGAAACAAGGAAGCCGGCAATGCCAAGGTGGTCAAACACAAAGGAGAAACCAGTTAACCTGAAAACATTTCTTCATTTTGTGTGTTCCTCAGGTTGGTCCTGGGTCTTAAATCAAAGTGTTGGTCTCAGCTGTAGAGTCATGCAGTCCTGCAGGGCTTCAGCTGCAGGTCCCGTCACTTCTCTGCGAATCCTCCACTGAGTAATCACCAATACATCCTCACGAGCGCGGGCACTTCCTGCGGGCACCGACACATCAGACAAAATGTAACCGTGGTGGTCTGAGCCCGGCCCCTCATTACTGCGGTGTGCAGAGGCTGCAAAGGCCACACTGAAGTCAGAGCTTTGATGTACTTTGAAACCTGCAGGTGTTCAGATTGGATATATCCAAAAAGCAAACCACTGCAGTCCCAATGGTGATTATCCACTGAGGGGAAATTATAAATAAGAATGTGAGATATTGATTGTGGTGTTGTTTTTATTCATGCTCTGGTGCTGTAAATGGGTGTCTGAAAACTAAACATCAATTTGTAACACCTCAGTTGAAAGGATGTCTCTAGAGTGCACACTGTGATCAGGTGCTCCTGCACAACAGTGTTTGCTAATTGTAAAAGAAGATTCCTTTGCAATATTTCTTTGATTTATTAGACGCTTTCATTTGCAACTAAACAAGTCAATACAACAGGGAAACATGGCATACATAATAAGTATCACAGTGTATATTATGCATCTCCAAACTGTGGTTTCAGCTGTGATTCATCGCCTCTCACATGAGCAGGCATTCGGTTTGATGACGTACTCCACTGAAATGTGTCCTCTGTGATATGCGAGGTAATAAAGCACTGAGCGGATTTTGAGACGGATACAGGCAGGTCACAGTAATAAAGCTGTAGTAAAAAGAGAGAATACCCACATGTGTCGTCCACAAATACTAAGTACAAAACTAGTTTTCTCCTGCAGAAGAATTCAGCTTCCTTGAAACAGTCTGTGACGACAGATCATCATCCTGCTTCTCAAACTGAAAATCTCAGAGGTATACCTCCTGTGGAAATAATGCACATTGATTTTAAGACCACCGAGGCAAAAATAACTCTACAACCAACACATTTCCACACACATATGCATTTAAAGTGCACACACACACACACACACACACACACACACACACACACACACACACACACACACACATACAGTTTCATGTTGAGTCTTGTACTATTTGCTCAGGGTCTGTGAGGCTGACTAACTATTAGTGGAGAGCATATTACATAATGCCATGATATGAGAACATCATTAAGGCAATGCCAGTGAGACAGGAGCCATCCCAAAGCCCCCCCGGTCTGCACCCCCGCCTCTTCCCTACCAGCAAAGCATCCTGCGAGGGGAGCCCTTCAGCTGCCTACATCTCATTACATGAGGGTGAACGTGGCCTGCAGATTCCCGCTGACATTCAATTAAAGCCTTTCATTTTCCCATCATTTGCTCCACGTCCGTGACTCTGACATGGCTCCAGCTGTCATTTGATAATTATTCCAAACGGCCCTACAATTAGAGGCAAATCTATTGTTGTGTTTCCGCACCCGGTGAGTGTGACTCACCTGTGAGTGACATACAGTAATGTTCATAATACTGGGAAAGTAGGAGGGCAGAAAGAGAGGTAACCTGACTGGTGAGAAGCTTCTGGTTACGTAATGTGTCTTCACTTCTAACCTCAAACTCTTTGGATATTTTCTCATGGTTGAGTTGTGCCTCTGTACCATGTCTTCTGGTTCAAACCCAAAATCACGATGCATGAAATTGGCTATATTCAGAATTGATTGGCTTATCTGAGAG